ATCGCTTGAGCCGTGAGCGCGCTTTAATGCAACGTTCGTTACAGGCAACTACGGCATGTATAGTGTAAAATTTAAATTCATAGTGTACAAATAATACCATTAAACCAATTCCTTAACCCCTATCCCGGTATGTTTGTGTTTGAAGAAGTTTCACTTCAGTAGCGTGTTGTATAATTACACGTTGTATTTTTTATTATAAATTGTTTTTTTTTAATTGGTATAGAATTGAATTGCTTGTCGAATTATTATTGAATTGGATTCTGGTTTTCAAATTTTGATATTTATAATACTGAAGAAAGTGATACGCCCTCAACAGGCATCTGTTGGGGTAGGTAACTGACCCTACTGGTCTTATCTTCTGTGAAATACCGAACCCCAATAAACTCGGTATTACCGCTAATATCGTAAAGTTATTGTTGGTAGCAATTGTTTACTTACCAACTACTTCGAATTTTGTCCTAAACTACCTACCTAATAAACAAAATATTTCAGAGAATATAAATGTAGTAAAAATATTTACAGTTATTTACAAAATAACACGGCACCAAACAATTGCATTAAAATCAAACTTTTATTATATTTTTTCTCACAATTTCGACAGTTGATTTTTAAATAAATGGATACACAAACAATGCATTTATTTAATACATTGGTTTTCACTGCTTTGGTCATTATCACCATCACAAGGTCGTCAGTCCTAAAACTGGTTGGACACGTACCTCCACTCTTTCCTATCTTGAGCTAAGCTTCGCATTTCCCTAAAACTAGAACAGCCTACATCTTTAACTATTTGCGAACAGTAATCTAATCTAGGTCTACCTCTACCCCTTCTAACTCCTGTTTCTGCTTCTAATATGTCTCTGACTAGACCTTCATGCCTAAGAAGGTGCCCTACCAACCTATCTCGCCTATTTTTTATTAACTTCCATAGAGTGCTCTGTTTCCCTATTCTTTCNTTAACCGTCCGCGAGCCACTTGACCATTACAAAAGAAATATATTTTGTATAACTATGATGAATCTCGCGGGCTTGAAAAAAATTTGAGGCGGACCCGTGAGCCGCGGGTTTGGTCATCCCTGACCTAAATCGTTCATTATGAAAGGCGAAGAAGGATAACAGTAGATATATGAAAATGGAATAAAAAGTACATGGTTATCAGTATTCTGTCGAAAGGCCAAAACTGTCAGATGTGGAATGCGATTTCGATCTTATTGGATCTCGTCAGACCAACTCTGCCTGCTAAAATCTAACCTGACAAGGGATAAATATACTAAAAAATAATGTCTTTTGATATATTAGAAATTCCTGTTTATTTAATTCTGTTAAAGTCTTTTATCTTCTACCAGTTTCACATCAAAAAAGTTATATTTCAATTTAAATGCCACTGACAATCAACAATAAGAACACGCACGACCACAGCATTTGAATTGTTTTATAACGCTATTAATGTGAAACTGACAGAATATTTTAATAGAACTAGATAAACAGGATAATTAATATATCAGAAGACTTGTCTTGTTGCCTTACTCAAAGAAACGATGATGACAATCAGTACCCAACTTGTTTCTTACTTTTTAGTTAGTTACTTTGTTTCTTGGGTTACAATTACAAGTTTTTATTTTATAGAATNTTTTATTAAAAAAACTTATTTTTTTTTGTTTTTATGATAATTCTTTTGTCACTGATATTTAATATTTTTACTAAAACGTTCACTATGAAATTATTATAACTTGAAAAGTGTTAGCTTTAGGAGTAAATCGCTTTATAAATATTTCCATTAAATTTAATTGCATCTTCAAAAAGATAAATAAAATTCCATTTAAAATAACGAAGTAATGACAATAGAACTGGAAATGCCATAGTTCCGAAAAGATTTTTTGTTTCCTACAGGTAAACTTTTAACAAAAACGATTTAGATCGATCACCTTGAATAATTTCATATTGTGAAATTAATATAGGATTATAACAGTTTCAAAAACGTTATATTTCATGAGTAGATAAACAGAATGACAATCATTTTTTTGTTGCTGTCAGCATGATATGGCGATTTTTTTTTCTTTCACATACAATATGTATAAAAATTCTTTCACCATCGAACACATATTTTACTTTTATATTTTTTCCCGATTAAAAAGTGAAATGATAGACAACGCTTTTATTTCTTCAACACTATGTGTCACAGTAACACTACCCCATCCCGCAAGAGCAATAAATGGCTTTATCGACCTCTAAAGCAAAGGATACCGCAAGGTCGTGTCGCCTTTAATAAAAAGAAGTCACTTCTATGCTCGCGAAAGGTTAATTTAGAAATTGGAAAAAGGTTGTTAAAGGTGTGTGTTTGGAGCACGGCGCTATACGGGTGCGAAACATGGACAGTGGCCGCGGCGAAAAAGAAAAGGTTAGAAGAAGGTTACAGGCGAATGATGAGGATACCGTGGGTAGAAAAGGTTGGAAATGAAGAGGCATTGGAAAGAATAGGAGAACAGAGGACTCTATGGAAGACAATAAAAAATAGGCGAGATAGGTTGGTAGGACACCTTCTCAGTCATGAAGGTCTACTCAGAGATATATTAGAGGCAGAAACGGCAGTTAGCAGGGGTAGAGGTAGATCTAGGTTAGATTACTGTTCACAAATAGTTAAGGATGTGGGTTGTTCTAGTTTTAGGGAAATGCGAAGCTTAGCTCAGGATAGGAAAGAGTGGAGGTACGTGTCCAACCAGTCTAAGGATTAATGACATTATGATGATGACGGCGGGATTTCTCAATTGGGATGTACAAAACTTAGAGGGGTCCTTGTCATGAGACTTAACTGTCTGTATAACATCCTTTATAAGGACAATATCTAATTAATACAATCTGCAAATCTGCGCGTGATCTATAAATAATCAAAAAGAGGTAGACTCACCTTTATCACCTTTAACGGGGGTTTTCGGTGCACTAATCACGAAAGTGCCGACAAGTAACCCGGGGTGTTCTCAAATGAGACAACAGTCCTGAAACAAAAGAAACAGCATGACTACAATCAACTCACTTTGTTCGTGCTATCTTTTTCTTATGATTTTATATATCTTCGACATCTTTTTCATAAACTTTTTGACCTAATTAGAAGGGCTGTGCTATTAAGAGTCATATCTACAGTTTTAGGATTCCCCGAAAATGTACACTTATTAATAAATTGGATTAAACATTTCCCCAACCCTTTTTACTTAGTTCGACCGTAGAGAGCGGAAGTAGATGCGTTCAGATGAAAAAAAGTCTGTATTTTAGCATTAAACTGAACAAATATTTACCGCGTCTACAATTCTGCCACCCTGGGCTACAGCCCACACGTAAATATGGTAAGTATAGGTACAAATGCTCGATAGACAGTCTCCAAAAAGATTTTCGCCTTGTATTGGCTCAATAATGCTCAATACATGGTACAGAATACGAAACGAGAAGCCCTTAATCCCTTAATTCAGAGTACCTACCCTGATGCGAACGAAGTCGCAATAAAAGGGGTTGACCATAAACCGTATTGCTTCTATTTCATGTTTTAACCACTTGTTAACATCCGTCTTCCGTCATAGTGTTACTACCCCCAAAGTAAATAAAATATATACCAGCCGACTTCAATCTTAAAACTAAAAAGTGAACAACATCTAACCGAAACAACGAAGGCACATTTTCTTTAGCTATTTTTTTATTATCATTCTCTAATTTTCGGCCATTGGAAGTAGAAAATATTTTTTTTTCAAATTTAAACGGAACCACCCTTGATAGAACCTATCCAATAAAAAAATAATTATAAAAATCGGTTCACAAATCACAATTGGCGAAGAAATCGAGAACCATACCCATAAAAAAAAAATAATCGAATAGAGATGCTCATGAGTGATCCAGGTTGTTTCTTTGTTGTTTATTCGTTATAATAATTGTATTTATTATAAATAATTAGAATGCTTTGAACCCAAGTTTGAAGCAGACGAAAATGTGGACAAAAGTATGTATCAAAATGGTTACAGATTATTTTCCGTAAGCGGTAATATACCGAATGAAAAATAATAAATATGTATTTAATTAGTAATCAATTAAAACTTTGTTATTTAGTTTATGTTAGAGATGTGTAAAATTGTATGATGAAATGTTTGTTATTATTGGATAATGTTTACTTTTTCAGTGTTGATAGTAATCATTTGTTATCTTAAACATACACGAATTATCAAATTTAAACATTATCGAATCTTACATCTTATCATGCCTTGTTTGCGTTTCAGACCGCAAGCATCGCACCCATCTTCACTATAAAGTTGCTTAGTAACGAAAAGTAATTTTCGCATGCGCAATGCACGCCTTGTAATTATAATATATCAAGCTAAGCAAAGAAAGTAAAAAAAAAAATCGAGTTCTGCTTACATTCCCCAACATTCTGTTTCTTTTTTGTTTAACGTAAAAATAAGTTAAAACGCGTTAAATTAAAAAATGCCCGCGATTAATGAAATTTTGTCCGTCGAAAATCCTGTATTCAGAAGTTACATGTTTTATGGCTCGGTTTTGGTTGTGAAGATGTTGGTAATGTCACTATTAACTGCAAGGCAACGAATTAAAAATAAGGTAAACAAATCAAATAATAATTAAATTAAATTAAAAGCTACATAGTTTACCAATATTAATTCAAATATTTTTAAAAATACATAATAACGGATTTTTTTGTATAATTTTTTAATGTATTCTCTTTAGGCGTTTGCTAACCCCGAAGATGCCGAACTAAACAAAGTTAAAGTAAAAGTTCATGAAGATGTTGAAAGAGTTCGAAGGTAAGAAAAGTATATTTGTTAAGTACAAAAATAAATAAAAATATACTTGACTGATATAAATGATTTCAATTATGTATTGTGGGTTGTATAGGTAAACAATCTATAAAAGAATAAATTCCCGTCCATATACGAGGGGAGATAAACAATTAAATGACAAATTACACATTTTGATAAAATAATAACAAACAAACATATTACTCACTTGTTGCCGAATATAGAGTTAAACAAAACCTTTGAAAAAGATAACATTTTAGAACATCATCACAACAATTAAAAAAAAATTAAATTAGGCGATCTTGCGCCAACATAAAACGGCAATATAACGTATGCTCATTGAAGCAATATTCAGAAAAAGGTCATTAACAGAAACAATATCAAAACATTATACAAAAAATTGGTTCTAGTAGGAATCAAGAATAAGCATTATTGTATCGGGTTGTTCGGAGTCATTTCGTTTTTTCCCGACAGAGGATTTAATTGTATTCTTTTGCACCCAACTTCACATTTAAGCTGTATAATTTTTATATGCTTTAAGAGCTCATCTAGCAAGGCTTGTGTGTGAAAAATTCCAATTAATTCTACGCAGTAGTTTTTGGTTGGTGCGCTTTTAAATATGGAGAGCGATAAGCAGCATTTTCGACATATCTTACTGTTTTACTACAGAAAGGGTAAAAATGCTGTTCAAGCCAGAAAGAAATTGACTGATGTGTATGTAGAAGGTGTGTTGACGGTACGCCTGTGCCAGAACTGGTTCGCTAAATTTCGATCCGGCAATTTTGATGTCGAAGATGCACCACGTTCGGGAAGGCCGGTTGAAGCTGATAAACACGCGATAAAGGCATTAGTTGATGTCAACCGGCGAATAATAACACGTGAGATCGGATTGAGGTTAAATTTATCAAATTCAACAGTTTATGATCACTTGAAAGGCCTGGGATTATCCTCGAAGCTCGATGTATGGGTTCCCCATGTTCTCACAGAGAGAAATCTGTGTCGCCGCATTGACGTCTGCGATTCGCTTCTCAAACGTCACGAAAATGATCCGTTTTCGAAGCGCATCATCACTGGGGACGAAAAATGGGTTGTATACAACAACGTCAAACGCAAGAGGTCATGGAGCAAAAAAGATGAACCGGCTCAAACCATTTCCAAAGCCGATATTCACCAAAAAAAGGTGATGCTGTCTGTTTGGTGGGATTTTAAAGGAATCGTTTTTTTTTTGAGCTTTTACCGGATAACACAACGATTAATTCGGAAGTCTACTGTCATCAGCTGGACAAACTGAATGATGCACTTCAACAGAAAAGGTCAGAACTAATCAACAGGAAAGGTGTAGTGTTTCACCAAGACAACGCGAGACCTCACACAAGTTTGGTAACTCGCTAAAAGCTTTTACAGCTTGAATGGGATACAATGCTACACCCACCATATTCTCCAGACCTGGCACCATCGGATTATTATTTGTTCCGGTCACTCCAAAATTTTTTAGACAGTAAAACCTTCACCTCAAATGAGGAGGTGAAAAACCTCCTCGATCAGTTTTTTGCCAGCAAAGATCAAAACTTTTATGAGCGTGGAATTATGCTACTACCAGAAAGATGGCAAAAGGTGTTGGACCAGAACGGTCAATATATAATTTAATAAAGTATTTGTTTATTATACGAAAACTGTCTTTCATTTCCACAAAAAAAAAAACGAAATGACTTTCTGAACAACCCTATATATCCGCCTTCATCCGTTTAATTTTTTTTTTATCTTCCAGAGCTCACTTGAACGACGTCGAGAACATTTTGCCCTATTTTTTGGTCAGCTTTGGATATTTACTGACTAATCCTGCACCCTTTGTGGCGATTTGGCTTTTTAGAGTATATACCGCAGCAAGATTTGCGCACACCCTTGTCTACGCGGTCGCAGTAGTACCCCAACCCGCAAGAGGAATATCGTGGTTTGCAGGGTATCTCATCACCGGATATATGGCGTTTAGGACAATAACTTATTTTGCTTAAGTACTACTTTTAATTTTTTTTTTTTATTACAATAGTTATTAGCTTCTTGTGGTGAATTTTGTTATATTATATTATTGGTAAACCTAAAATAAATAACTAAATAAGTAATGTTCCAATATCGTTTTATTATTTTACTAGGTTTTACCTGCGGCTATGCTCGCGTTGATGTCTTAAATTAGTTTAGGCAAATTAGACTTTTGGTGGAAAAGAAAAGATCATAGTGGATCAATCATTAACATTTGGTAGCCTATAATATTTAAATGAACACGAAAAAAAATCGCTTTTTCAAGATAAATCTTCATTTATTGAAGAAGATTTACCACTTTGAAAAACTACCCCCATCGAAAAAGTTCAACAACGTTCCCATTTGACATTTTTCGATTAAATCATTATAAAAAAATTATACGAAAAAGAACATGGAAAAAACGACCTTAGGTAATTTGTTTATAAACAAAGTTTCTCATATTTGTGAGAATGCACAAAAGTTTATTAATTAAGTACGTAATTTTTTACTAATTTACATAAAAAATTCAGGCCTAGACCAAATTTTTCCAAAAAATGGCTCTAATTCGCCTGGACTAAAATATGTGTCAGAGATCATCGACAACCACATAAAACTAATTGTCTATCCTAATTGTGTATCCTATATCTTTTTCTGTACCCTTGACAATGTATGTACAAAATTTCATAATGATCGGTTGAAGAGTTAAGGCGTGAAATCGTAACAAACAAACAATCTCACATTCGCATTTACATTATTAATTAGCACATCACGAACGTAACTACGAATGAGCCCGAGTGACCAAGGATCATGCAATGAAATTGATACGCTGAATTAGAATCAAAAATTACTCAAGCTGAAAAATCAAGTCTTATTAAATTATTTGCAATTAAAAAAAAACTGTAATCTGTGATTTCAAATTTCGCAGTAACTTTTAATAATTCCCGTCCATATACGAGGGGAGATAAACAATTAAATGACAAATTACACATTTTGATAAAATAATAACAAACAAACATATTACTCACTTGTTGCCGAATATAGAGTTAAACAAAACCTTTGAAAAAGATAACATTTTAGAACATCATCACNTTGCATTTAAAAAAAAACTGTAATCTGTGATTTCAAATTTCGCAGTAACTTTTAATAAGATTGATTGATCGATTAAGTTGCTTAATAAATTTCATTCGTTAAACATATAAAAAATTAAACAATGAATTTGATAAAAAATTGTATAGTACCAAAAAAAAGGTTGCCTTTGTATGTGGAGAATAGTCATTGGTTATTATCGGAAATTAAATGAAGAAACTATTTCGAATAATACCCGTTACCCAACATTGACGAAAAGTGATTTCTATTATTAACAAAAATCTTAAAAATATCACTAACTGGATCCATAATTATAAAATTTATGTCGGTTTAAGTTGTCAGCGTTTCAATTATTTAAAATATTTAACTTTATGTATTAGTTAACTGGGGTTTGTCTTGTATGAAATAAAGGATTTCTCTTAATCTCTGTATCGCATTTAATTATATTTACATTTACTGTAAAGTAAATGAGTATCATATCAAAATATTCTGCCTTATTAAACGTCATTGTAACAAACTATATAGTGTTCTACACACTGACCTACGAGAGTGATACACTCACCTACTGTCAATGACTACATACATACGAACCTACAACGTTAAAAGAATAAACATCGTTAATTACACGTAATCTAAACTTCAAACAAGCTTAAACAACACATTACGACTCCTAATATGAAGCAAAAATTAACAGATTTAATCAATTCCTGCACGCATTTTAAAATAAATAATACTGATTGAGCTAACAGACGAATTCCTATGAAAATTTCACAAACTCTAGCCAAATTATTTGAACGAATTTATTCTGAATTTGCACAAATCTACATTACACTTGTGAAATAACAGGAACGTTTGTTAGAAATTCTCTATTTCTTATATTTTTAAGGCTATTATTTCCGGCTTAACATCATAGTATCTATTAATAACAGTTAGTAACAAAGCCTTAAAAATAAAACACAGTTGCTATTGAAACAATTATTAGTACAATTAAACAAGCAGGAAAAAACATTATTTTCTCAATATAAAAAATAAATACTTTTTGATAATTTATTATATCTATCAGTGCACGCGTATACACTGGTTAATCAGTCAACAAAGTTCACACCTTATGAATTAGTCTTTGGCTTGATAATTTATCCGAAATTGAAATCGAATGAGATAAAAAGTGTCACTGAGTGATATTCGAGAACAATTAAAAATCAAAACCAAAGTAAACAGAAATCTAAAGAATGATATAGGATTTTAAAGCTAAACCTATTAAAAATTTAAGATAGGCGATTAAACATCTTAACAGAAAAAAACTAGTTTTAAAAATAGCATTTACGAAATATCTAAAACTTATTAATAACACCACATTTCGAAAGGCTTCCAACCTTTTCTTTTCCGCCGCGCCCACTGTGCATGTTTCGCACCCGTACAACGCCGCTCTCCAAACATACACCTTTAACAACCTTTTTTGAATTTCTAAATTAACCGTTCGTGAATATAGAAGTGACTTCTTTTTATTAAAGGCAACACTACCCTGCGCTATCCTCTGCTTTATATCCCTACTACTCCATCCGTCCTGACTTATCTGACTTCCTAGATATCTAAAATCAGCCACTTTTTCTAATAAAAAAAAATGATAGAACTAAGAATATAATAAATACATCAAGAATATTAAATTAAGTTTGGAAATGTTTCTCTGTGTCGTTCTTCATTTTTAAAACACCTTGTATACATAATAGAAGTACGCAAATAACCGGGAAATAGCCAATTACATAAATAAGAAAAACGTTTTTGGTTATCTAATCACAACGCATAATATATAATTAAAAACAAGATCAAGGCTGTATTCTTAGCAACAAATTCCGATAACTAATAATTAAATCAAATAAAATTAATAGCTGCAGGCTTTATATCTTAAAACTCCATATCTAAAATCACAAATAAAAATCACAGAAGTTTCAGGGAACTTTATATATTGTACCAGTAACACCCGTTCAAATTTGGTATCGTATCCAAAGATTCCGTTCAGCTAATTTCACAGCGGCGGAATATGAGAGGGTACATCCAAAATTAGGTTTCTAAGTATAAATTTAACAACAAAGAATTATAAGTTTCAATTTGGTTGTTAAAGATGTGAAATATTTAATTTGTTGTATCTATTAATGTAATACATATTACCCATCAGTTAAGTTTAGTTAGTGTCCTTTATTTAATGCTTTTGCAATTGATGTGTTTACGTTTGATGATATGCTCAGCTACAGACCGGTTTTTCTAGAGTAAAATTTTCATGTTCATGGACCCCTTCATTGAAGGATGTTCGTTTTTGCCTGGTGTATGTAGGTATATACACTTCATCACAAATTCGACTTCCTAACAAACAGATTCCCAATTTCTTTAGAGAGAAGAATATGGAGTTTGTGACAAAGTAAATTATCTATGTGTGTATATCGGACAAACAGAAAGATATTTTTCCCCTAAGTGTTCAACCTCCTTACCCACTCCTACCACTTAAGCAATATTCTGTAAAAAAATATTTATATTTCTTGTACAAGAACGTTATCTAAAAAGAGGTGCGCGGATAGGTGCGAGACATTTAGAACAATTAGCTTAACTTTCCATGCGTCAAAAATCGTAACTAGAATTGTACAGAGGAGGATGGAAAAAAGGGCGGAAGAACTATTAGGGGAAATTCAATTTGGGTTTAGAAGAAATAGAGGAACGCGGGAGGCCATTCACTAAAATACTGGTGTGCAAGGGAAGAAAAAGTAGGGAAAGAGCGAATATAAAGATAGGAGACGAAAAATTAGAAGAAGTAGCTGATTTTAGATATCTAGGAAGTCAGATAAGTCAGAACGGAAGGAGTAGTAGGGACATAAAGCACAGCATAGCATAGGGTGGCGTCGCCTTTAATAAAAAGAAGTCACTTCTGTGTTCGGCAACGGTTAATTCAGAAATTCGAAAAAGATTGTTAAAGGTGTATGTTTGGAGCGGGGCGTTGTACGGGTGCGAAACATAGACAGTGGGCGCGGCGGAAAAGAAAAGGTTAGAAGCATTCGAAATGTGGTGTTATAGGCGAATGATGAGGATAACGTGGGTAGAAAAGGTTAGAAATGAAGAGGTATTGGAAAGAATAGGAGAACAGAGGACTCTATGGAAGTCAATAAAAAATAGGCGAGATAGGTTGGTAGGACACCTTCTCAGGCATGAAGGTCTAGTCAGAGACATATTAGAGGCAGAAACAGCAGTTAGGAGGGGTAGAGGTAGACCTAGGTTAGATTACTGTTCGCAAATGTTAAGGATGTGGGTTGTTCTAGTTTTAGGGAAATGCGAAGTTTAGCTCAGGATAGGAAAGAGTGGAGGTGCGTGTCCAACCAGTCTTAGGACTGAGGACCTTATGATGATGATGATTATGTACAAGGACATAAGAAGAAGCCGAAGTTTTTGCAAGGCGAAACAATTGTGGTACACAACATTCATTCGTGTTGTTTATATATTGTAACTTAAATATACTTAATTGTAGAAGCCTACTCCAATACTTTGTCTTTATGAACAAACTTAAACGAAAAAGTTAAAAACGAAAATCATCACACAATATCCATTATTATTTATCGACGATTTTGTTAATCCTTGAATTATTAGAAGTGTAAACAAGTTACATCTGCGATTATTCAAGCAACTTTTGAGCCTCAAGCAACATACCCATTTAAGGCGATTCCTAATAGTTTTCCATAAAATTATACTTCATTATGTGCAAACAATGTAAATAGAGGCGATTAAATAAAAAAACATCCAACATCTTTAACTATTTGCGAACAGTTATCTAATCTAGATCTTCCTCTATCCCTCTTTACTCCTGTTTCTGCTTCTAATGTCTTCGCGAGCACAGAAGTAATTTCATTTTGTTAAAAACGACCCAACCCTGCGCATTTATTTGTATCATCATGTCCCAACCACTTTTACTGTCGTATGTTTTAATATTTGACTTTAAATTGTTATTGTAAAGAAAAGTTTTGATGAAGCAAAAAAAAAAAATATGACGGATTTCAATGTTTTATTTTAGGTTTTAGGCCATACAATTTTTTTTGTAAAAAGTTGCATTTTTCCCAAAACTAAAAATATATCTTTTTCGCAAGTTGACAATTGTAAATAATAATAACAATGTATGCAAATAAAATAAAACATAATTTTATCAACATATAAGTACAAATAGTTGTCACCAAACAGAACAATACGAATTATGAATATTTATTTACTAAATAAATGTACCCCCCAATAAATGAGTCAGCAAAGATACACTGACAATGAGTAAATATTAAATAATTTGATGGAATTGCGGTTGCAGCATTTAACTGAAATACACCACGAAATTATTATCTTATTGTAATTAGCCACTCAAACTAAAAATTGTGAAATTTATTTCGTATATCTGTTGAACAATTGTCTACAGTTTTTTGCATAGCTCCATATTTTGGCAACTTTTTCCTATTAAACCCATATTTCATAAACGAGCCCTTCTTTTTTCTGTTTTCGAATACTGTGTACAATAAATCAAATTTGGATAATTACAGACGATCTTATATTGCAGTAGGCGGCAAGTTTAATTTGAAAAATTTTTCGATTAATCTTATCAACAGTTTGGCCGCAATAAGCATATTGCGTATTATTTGAGCCACCCTGTATACAAAACGATTTGAAAGAAAAAAATCTACAAAACTACTTAAACTAGATGCTTTCTTGAGGAGAGCAATTTCATCCTTAACTTTCAAGAGGACTTACAGTTTTCTTACCTACAAATTTTAAACAAAACCCACACAGTAATTAAAAGAAAAACAGGACGCGGATTTGTTTTTCAGTTTGGCGCAAAAACGTCCTATTATAATAATATGTAGGTAATAATATATGTTCGGCAGTATTTTACCTAAATGTAGTAGTAAGTAAAATCTAACTAATATTTATTTTCAAATATTCCGATTTCTTCCTCTTTCATTTTTGAAGCAAAAGAAATACGTTCTTTAAGCTAAACAAACTAACATTTTGTACCTGTTTTTATGACCATTTGAACCCTCAGCTTTGAATGTGTATGTATTTTAACGGCAAAGATTCTAAGAATTTCACCCCCTTTAGAAATTTTTGTCGCCAAAGGAGAAAGTCGGAGTATCAATTTTTACCAGTATAAGTAAGTACGTTTTGGGGAGTGACTTAGCTGTCTCGCCAAGACAGTACCAACCAACCGACCAATTGTTACCACCAAATTCATTTTTGTACATAGTTCTGTACATATTTTATTTAATATCTTTAGTTAGAGACATCACATTCGGAATTTATGTGACCCAATTACCTATTAAGTTTACACTTTCGATAATTTACGAAAAAACAATATATTTAAGTAAAATAAAATGCTTTAAAATGTTGCAAATCCAAACGAGACATATTTCCGACCTCCAAATTTCTCCTAAAATTTGTCCACCCTAAACACGGACTTTAAGGCCTAAGCCATTATCGATTAATGGGTACAGACCACTTTTGGCTCATACAAAAAAGCTAACTAAGTCCCTGTCACCTATGTCATGTACACAATTTTGTTTTTGAGGTAATGAACGTGACGTATGAGAGCCAAATAACACAGGAGTGACTCTGTAAACTATAAACTTTTGATAGACATCTAAACAGTCGAAACAATAAAATTGAACAGTTAATAATTAAAAATTTGAAACTGTATAAGGTTTTATTTACGCTTACTTAAAAGGAATTTCAAAGAAGGATTACTAGTAATACGGTGAAATTTAATAGCATTTTTATTAGTAATTTCTGCAGTAGGTGCCCGATATGTTCCAAAATAGTTTCAAAAACAAATAAAATCAGAATAGGCAAAACTGCTGCGTGAATAAACGTGATCTCAAAAATAAAACTACAACAGCAGCTCGCGACGTACCTAAATCTGAACAAGAAGCACGAATAAAACGGAAAAAAACTCATTTAAGTACTATTAGAAGAGAAAAACGTATGAAAAGGCGTTATTATGATCAAAAATAGAAAACAAGTTAAATAGGTTGAAATTATGAAGATATCTACATATGTTATATGTTAAAGGTTAATGGCCTCGTATCAAACTGCCTATGAATTACTACAATTATTATAAAAATTCAAATCAACAAAATGCGGAAGTTCCAATTTCTTTCACTTTTACAATTTCACAAGATTGATAAAACTGTTTCCACACTTTACCGTTCATTCAAACTATTTTAACTTTATTTTTTTTNAGTAAAAATTGTTGCCGGCATCACTACCAGGCCCCTGGTCTTACTGTATTGAGTATTGGTGAGTAAAACCAGGGGCCCGGGTTCGATTCCCGATGAGGGAGTGACTGTCACATCAAAAAATGAAGACTCCTATTCTATTTCACTGAATTAATATTTAAATTAACTTGTACCACCCCAAAAAAAAACTCAAATTAATGAAAAAAAATTGTTGCTGCTGTAACGCCCTCGCCGGGAATCGACCCCGGACCCTTAGCCTAACGCATCATTGCTCTACCATTAAATTACCTTATTCATTTGAGACTATCTGTAACGGTAAAAATTAATTCACTTTAATGTATTAAAAAACCCTACAAAAATTCTTCTAAAAATTCTCATTTCTCTCCAATTAATCAAAAAAATCTGAAATAAACTTAAGGGATAATAGATTATAGAATAGAAATATGAAGAATAATTATTGAATTAGGTACTATGATGCATTTGAAATAGAAGATTGAAAATATGAAAGAACCCTTAGGAGTTTCCAATTTTCTAGAAAATTTTAGGTAATTGTTTCCTTTTATGGGCCACACCTCCGATTATTTTTTATTTATTTATTTTAGTATGTTGTACGGTTTAGCGTGCTGATCATTTTTGGTGGTTCACATTGCTGTATATGAAAGAAATACAGTAAGTTTGTGATCGTAAGCAATCAAATAAGAGCATTGTTCGGTAAGTTAAGTTCGGCTAGTTAGGTTTTAGTTCGTTGTTTACAGAAATATGACAACAAAAAAAATAACGCCAACTTTTGTTAGATTCTGTGTATCACTCAAACTCCAGTTTAGTAACAATATAAAAACAATACGTTAAATTCGGAAATACTATTGAGGGAGGATGTTGAAGTAGTGTTAAGGGAAGGTTAGGTTCTAAAAATCGGAGATGTGGCCCCTAAAGTCAAATGATTTCCAAATTTTCTTGATGGCATAAGTTATGGTACTCATTTAAGTATATGCATTTATTATTATATTGGATATTTTTTCACAGTAAACTTGTACATACAGAGAGCCGAACTTGCGTCAATTCATATTATATGAAGATAGGTATTCTGAAATAAGTCGTATATATAAGTCGATATTTCCTCATTCCATCGCGCCTTATATACATATTATACATACATAGCTAGCTAGGTACAACTTCTACCAGTCGACAACCCCTAGACCCCCTAGCCACTACATCGAAACTGATAGAAGTGGCATGAGCTTTTCGTATTATTACACAGGCAGCCTGTCGGCTAATCTCGCGAACGCGAACTCGTTTAGTATATAAACCATCGTGGAAGATAGCAGTTGTTTTACCAGGTAAAAAAAAAACTCGCTCTCGTCTTCCCATATAAAAGCACTTTTGTGTGTGTAAATCGTTAAAGGTGAAATGTCGAAAGAGTGCAAACAAAAGGATTTCGAGACACCGGATTGGCCGTCTAGGTGCACTTGGAAGCCGAATGCTGACCCCAAAACGAGCCCCCACACCAAAGAAACTCGGTATAAAAATATGAGATATTTTAGTAGTCTTTTTTGAGGAAATAGAAATCAAAAGGTAACATTGCAGACAACCCCGGCCCAAAATTTTCCCTGATATACTCAAAACCGTCGGAGAGACCCCCCTGGTGCGTCTGAACAGAATACCCCAAGCAGAAGGATTAAAATGCGATGTTTGTAAGTAATTACAAGATTAAAATTGAACATTTTATGTTTACGTTTGGATAAACCAATTAATTTTTATTTATACTTAAATATACATACCTATTTCATCTACTAAATTGTTACATACAATTAAGACGCCTAAATATTATCAGTAAATGATAAGAAACTATATTTATTTAATGGGTAACACGTGCAATTATGTAAAAATAATAACTTTTTATTGAACAGAAACATACAGTGGTGTATGATCGAAATTAACTGCTATTTGCAAAAAGTCAAAATTCGTTTTTAATTTAAGCATCTAATCAGAATAAATATTCCATTTACCACATTCTGATATTATTTTAAAAGATTGCGTAAACATAAATAAAATATTCCTGTTTACCTTCTACCAACTAATAATCTTATAATTCAATTCAAAAAGAGATACGCACCACGATACGAATTACTAATTTTTACGTATTTTCAACAAAATGTTTTGTAAATTAAATAACGTCTGACGTAACATTTGTTATTGTTTTTACAAATAATGCAGTAAGCATATGGTTAATGACGAAATAATAAAATTAAAATATTTAATCAAAAAATAAACCTACTAGGAACAGTAGCCAATAATGAAATTGCATTTCGAGGGTTATCAGTTCAATTTAAGTTATCTAACGTAATTATATGAATTCGACGTCAATTACATATTAAGTTTTAATTTTTTTATAAGTAGTCTATATCTCATTTTTAAACAAAACTACAAACTTTTCAATAATAAATTAAT